TTAGTATATAAACTATTCCTAACAAAGTTCATTTTAATTTTGTTTTCCCAAGTCCTTTCTCATTTTTTAATGGTAAAGCTAGACTAAACTAAAACCAACAAATCTTTAATTGTTAAACATCTTCCTACTCTCTGTGGTCATTCTTCTTCAGTCTAATTTAAAAGAACCATGTGTAAAATATACTTAGATTACATATCCCAAATATATGTCAAGGAAAATAAGTGATTGCAAACATGTCTGTGTGTATACATAGAACCCTATTTATAATCTTCATATTAACATTTTAAAAAATACAAATTCTCATTCTGGATCAGACATGAAGGACTTAACTTTAAGCCTTTTAAGAGTAAAACGTTACTTGATTTTTACACACAAAAAATGAAATAAACATAAAATGTTAAAATGCAAGGTAGAAAAAGATACCTTTTACAGAAAAAAAGGAATGAGGAAACTTGCATAGAATAGGTACAATGGCAGAATACTAGAATAACAGAATAACAGAGTTAAAAGGCACCTTGGAGGTCTTCTAGCCCAACCCCCTACTCAGGCAAAAAATCCTATACTATTTCAGGCAAATTGTTGTCCAATCTTTTCTTAAAAACCTCCAGTGTTGGAGCACCTACAAATTCTGCAGGCAAGTTGTTCCACTGATTAATTGTTCTGTCAGAAAATTTTGCCTTAATTCTAGGTTGCTTCTCTCCTTGTTCAATTTCATTCCGTTGTTTCTTCTTACACCTTCAGGTGCTTTGGAGAATAGTTTGACCCCCTCTTCTTTGTGGCAACTCCTTAGATATTGGAACACTGCTTTCATGTCTCCCCTAGTAGCCCTTCTTTTCATTATTTATTTATTTATTTATTTATTTAGTCAAATTTATATGCTGCCCTTCTCCCGAAGGACTCGTGGCGGCTCACAAAGGATTAAAACCGTAGAACAGTAAAAATAAATTGATTTAGACAAATTAAAAATACAATTAAAACCCATATTAAAACCAAACTAAAAACACCGCACAGGTCAGGCGATTTGTTTAAAAAGCCATGTCTTTAGATCCTTGCGGAAGGAGTGGAGGTCGGGAGCCGTGCAGAGCCTGGTGGGTAAACCATTCCAGAGGATCATCACGCCCTCTCATCCTGGCGCCATCAGCCGACATTGCCTGGCCATCGGCACCCAGAGGAGGGCTGCCCTATGCAAGCGCACTGGTCGGTGAGAGGCTGGCAGTAGGTGCTCCTGCATGTACCCCAGGCCCATGCCATGAAGGGATTTATAGGTAAGCACCAGCACCTTGAAGCAGATCCAGAGGACCACTGGTAACCAGTACAACTCGCGCAGGAGAGGTGTAACATGGGAGTAACGGGAAGCTGCCGTAACAACCCGCGCGGCTGCATTTTGGACCAGCTGGAGCCTCTGGGTGCACCCCAAGGGCAGCCCCATGCCTCATTAAATTAGACATACTCAATTTCTGCAACCATTCTTCATATGTTTTAGCCTGCAGTCCCCTAATCACCTTTGTTGCTCTTCTCTGTACTCTTTCTGGAGCCTCAACATCTTTTTTATATCATGGCGACCAAAACTGGATGTAGTATTCCAAGTGTGGCCTTACCGAGGCATTATAAAGTGATATTAACACTTCATTTGTCCTTGATTCTATCCCTGTTAATGCAGTCGAGGACTGCATTGGCTTTTTTGGTAGCTGCTGGCTTGGTGTTTGGGACTCCAAGGTCCCTCTCACAGTTACTACTTTTGAGCAAAGTACCACCTATACCAGTGATGGCTAACCTTTTTGCCGTTGCGTGCCAAAGCAGGGGGAGCGTGGGGGGGGTGTCGCACACATGCATACCCACACCCATGATTCAATGTTCCCCGCCCCCCCATGCATGCGCACATGATCCCTCCCACACTCCCCCTGCTTTTGGCACACGGTGGCACAGTGGGCCCATTAGGCCTGTTTTTTGCCCTCCCCAGGCTCCAGAAGCTTTCTTGGAACCCAGGGAGGGCAAAAATGGCCTTCCACAACCCCCCAGGGGCCCTCCAGAGGCCGGAAATGGCCCGTTTGCTGACTTCTGGTGGGACCGGAAGGCCCGAAAACCAGCTGGTCAGTGCACGCATGCATACTGGAGCTGAGCTAGGGCAACGCTTACGTGCCCACAATTATGGCTCCGTGTGCCACCTGTGGCATGTGTGCCATAGGTTCGCCATCACGGACCTATACTGTATTTGTGCATTTGTTTTTTCTTTTTTCTAAATGTAGAAAAAATGTACTTTTTTTAGCAGTGAATTTCATTTTGTTAGATAGAGCCAGTGCTCAAAACTGTCAAGATCCTTCTGTATCTTAAGCCTTTCTTCTGTAGTGTTGGCTATTTCTGTCAGCTTGAGGTCATCTGCAAATTTGATGGGTTTCCCATTTATCCCCTCTTCTAAATAATTGATGAAGATACTAAAGAGTACTAGGCCAAAGCAGAGCCTTGCTGCATACTTCCCTCCATGTAGTTGCAATTCCATTAAGGACTACAGCGTACCACCAGTACGCTGATGACACCCAGCTGTACATCTCCACCCCAGGCCACCCCAGCGATGCCCTTGAAGTGATGGCCCAGTGCCTGGAGGCTGTACAGATCTGGATGGGGAGGAACAGGCTCAACCTCAAACCTTCCAAGACTGAGTGGCTGTGGTTCCCGGCATCCCAATATAGTCAGCTGACTCCAGCGCTGACTATCGGGGGCGAGTCTTTGGCCCCCGTGGAGAGGGCGTGCAATCTGGGTGTCCTCCTGGATACACAGCTGTCCTTGGAGGAACATCTGACGGCTGTTGCCAGGAGGACCTTTTGTCAGGTTCGCCTGATTCGCCAGTTGCGCCCCTTTCTTGATCGGGATTCCGTGTGCACAGTCACTCATGCCCTCGTCACCTCTCGCCTGGACTACTGCAACGCTCTCTACATGGGGCTCCCCTTGAGGAGCACCTGGAGGCTCCAACTGGTCCAGAATGCGGCTGCGCAGGTAATTACGGGAGCTGCATGGCGCTCCTGCATAACACCGCTCCTGCGTGAGCTGCACTGGCTCCCAGTGGTCTTCCGGGTGCGCTTCAAGGTGTTGGTTACCACCTTTAAAGCGCTCCATGGCATAGGACCTAGTTATCTTCGAGACCGCCTTCTGCCACCGACGACCTCCCATCGACCCGTGCGCTCCCACAGAGAGGGCCTCCTCGGGGTGCCATCAGCCAAGCAATGCAGGCTGGTGACCCCCAGGGGGAGGGCCTTCTCTGTGGGGGCTCCCACCCTCTGGAATCAACTGCCCCCAGAGATAAGGAGAATCCAAGATCTTCATGCCTTCCGCCGTTCCCTTAAAACTTTCCTTTTTCAAGAAGCCGGGCTGGCCTAATAAATTCCTTTTAAATGATTTTAAATGATTTTAAATTCGTTTGTCTTTTTAAATTTTGGGCCAAATTGAGATATTTCCTTTTAATCTGTTCTTAATGTATGTATTATGTATTTATGTGTTTTTACTTGGCTGTACACCGCCCTGAGTCCCTAGGGAGAAGGGCGGTATATAAATTTGAAGTAAAATAAATAAAATAAAAAATAAAATGTTGAGTGTGGTTGGTCAGCCAGTTACAAATTCAACTGTAAATGTGTAATGTAACATAGCAGAATTAAAACAGATGTCCTGTATGCCAATGAGGAGAGAGTCCAAGTTGAATTACAGAAAAGCCAGAGAATTATCCTTGCTTAGCAAGACAAAATTAAAGTACTGTATAAAAGAAATGTATGACTACTTATGAAAACATTCACACAAGACATTCCTGCACCCCAAAGTAGCAAAAACTCTTTAAAAATAAAGAATTGATTTTGGAATAAACCAAAACATTAAACAAAAATAAATAAGACTTTCTCCAATATTTTGTACTCTAGATTCATTAATAAAAAACCCACTAATCTCCCATTCAATAGTTTTAAAAAACAGATTTGGAAGTATCCTGGATTATTTGCTTGGATTATCTTTTGATAAAATAGGGAAGGCAGAGCTTTTAATCAGTTCTCATTAAAAATATAAAACTGTCTAATAGAACTGAAGTATACATCATTTAACTACCTGTTGTACTGTGATATTGCCTAAACATAAGCCAAATCTTTAAAACAGTTTTTAAAGAGATTAAGAACTATTTATACCTACTGGAACTGAAGCCAATAATAAGAGCAATTATAGATACATTTGCTGGGTTACTGAACTACAAAATTAGCTGTGTCCCTTTGACCCAGGTAAGCAAATGCAAGGCAAAGTAAGTTCCTACAAATTCAGTACCTTTCCACATTCATACACATACATAATCCAATACTCTCTAGCTGCCAGGAATTTCAGAATTATTAAAAAAAAACTTAGGTTGCAGATGCATTTCTAGAACATATTTTTTTTGCTCAATTTCCCATGTCCGCCATCAAAGTTCTGGTGGCTGCAGAAGAATGGTGAAGTACCTTACCTATCTCTGTTTCAAGTTGTGATTTCAAGAGCTCATGATTAAACCCTGAACTCACTGACTAAATATGATATGTCCATAACCTTTACGAAATAAAACAGTGCTTTGGCAAGAAAATAAAAAAGTAAAAAATACCACACAAAAAAGAAATGTATATTAAATATTATTTCAAAATAGTTACAATTCTATATATAATTATCTAATTTAATTATTATTCAAGTACATATGTTTCTAATATATATACATATAAAACCTTCATGATTTTATGTGTTTGATGTTTTTTCCATGTTTTGGGTCATTATTTTAAAAAGCAGTAAAAGAATAAATTAAAAAAAATTATGCATTTGTTACAAAGTCTAAGAACAAGAATATACATCCTTCAGGTCCTCAAACTTGACATGCAACAAAATGGTTGCAACCTTTCTACAAACACTGGACATTTTCTGATTCAAAACAGCAATTAAGGGACTAGCTGCACTGCCAGCTTCGTTTTTCCTTCTACTATAATGCTTATTTTATTCAATTACATACTTACCAAAGTTCCTTCTTTATTATCTTCTTTTGTCCCAATGGCCCCACAACGGTCTCCACAGTAGAAATCTAACAGCCTTCAAATCATAATTAAGGCATTTGTTTTAGTATAAATTAGATAAAGTAGGATTATGTCAAACTATTAAAACACTCCTGACTTTTTCAGCCCCCAAGACAGCACAGTTTCAAGATAAATGCCAACTAAAGTTCACTCAAGCCTGCAACGTGGAGAGATGGATGGAAAGATCAAATTCCTCATGCTTCTGTGCTTTGGGAGTAAGTAAAAGAATTTCCTTATTGCTTGAATCTGAATCTTGAAGCTTCCAAGTAGAGAAATGAGCTTGATAGCTTCTTAAAGATGGGGAACATGATTGCTTTACTCAACAGAGGTAAAATCGCTTCGCCTTTGAAGAGTGAATTTACCGCCTCATGGAGACCCATCCCCACAGCTTTTTGATAGTGGCAACCTTAACTCAAAAGGTAAACTTCGACAAATCAACCCACAAATCCTTTCAAGTGGTGATTTTTGCCACTTCATACAGCCACAGTGGAACTTCAGCAAGCTGTGATTATTTGAGCTCTTGAATCTGATCAAGCACTGCACACAAAGAAAAAGAACATGTTCAGATGCAACCACAGCATTAAATACCTAGAGCTGAAAGTAAATCCGGTGGCCTTTTATGTGAAAATTAAATTGTAATCTCATTTTACCTCTGCAAAAACTGCCTTCACCAGAAGTGGCTAACAAATCATAAAGAAAAAAAAAATGTTTTACAGTATTCATTTGGTTTAGTGAAAGCAATATTGATCAGAATGAACAATATGACAGCAAAATTCATTTCAGTTAGGAAAAAAATTGAGGTCCATGGGGCTGCCTAAAGAACCTATCTAGACCAAGGGCCTCAGTTGAGAAATCTCTCTAAATCTTACCTTACCACCACCATTAAACAAGAGGCTCTTGGGGCATCTGCTCCCTATTTCTCAAGACCCTGAAATAGCATCTCTGCAACTGGCAGAATTTTCTGTCAACCAAGTAGCTTATCTTTTAATATCTATGCACCGTTAAACAATTATAATCACTCAAAGTGATTATATCTACTTTGCATGTAAAGTGTTTCCACAGTATCATCTACAAACCAGCCATAGAATAGGTTATGTGAATGGGCACAGAACAAAAAATGATTTGAGTCTTTAAAAAGAACAGGTGGAAAGAATAGGCAGTGACAAGTAATACAAGTCAAAAGGGAACATAAATGTAAGAGCATATAAATAGTGGGAGAAATATATATATATAATACAGAGGCAGCATAATAATGGAAGACAGATTTTTTTATTGTACCATTCAAGATTAAAGAGGTTAAAAGGAAACTGCTTGAAAGTATTATTTCCTCCTACTGGGCAAGTTGCAATACATTTCTATAGTTAATTTCTCTATAGATGACCTGTTTGTAGCTCAATTTTATAAGTATTCTCAAATTTTCTGTGATGGAAAAAATTCTTTGTAAAGTTAAAATACAAAGCACTGTAATGATCTCTTCCTTTCCAGAGGAAGAAAGGAAAAAGGCAAATTAGATCTATGCTCTACACAGACTTCTTATTTGAGTTACTTTATTAGGAGACCACATCAGCCTCTTTAAAAATGATCTATCTAGGAAACTGTCATTGCTTACTCTTGTTAACTATGGAGATCAAGTCATGTCAAGTTCTTCTTAAAGAGAAGAAGCAAATTCAGGCTCTGAATTTGTACTACAAATTCCTACAGAAATACAAAGCATGAAACAAAAGGACTAGCATATCAGTAGAATACAACAGTTCTTGTAAAATGAGGAAATAAGCAATATTAAGTGCCAATGTCTAAATCCTGTATTGTGAAACTTGGTCACTCCAATAAAAGATAAAATTTAGATTTTTTATGCAATATGTTGTAACTTTTTTAAAAAATAAAATGTAACAAAAAAGTGGTAGAAAAATAGAGATGTTATACATATGATTTATTCCAGTTCCAAAAGAAATACTGTCAAACATCAATTGCTAGTCAAAAATTGTGATCTCAAATTGAACACAAAAGGCTTGGACAAAATTATGAGTATGTAAAATAATAAATAACAAAACAAAATATAATTTCTAGTGTTCATTTATTGGGCCATATTAAAGGATACTTGGGAAGAATTCCAATGATTCTGTTTTCAGTATTCTGTTCATTTGAATATATTGATTTATTTAAAAAAATAACTGAAGCCCTCAAAAAAAACATCTTAAATAAACCAAAGACTCATAAGCCAAAAAAGAAAAACCAGGAATCATCTGCAACATATAGTGCAAAGGCTGTAACATCCACTGTGTGGAACAAACAGGCAGAAGACTAGAAGAGTGCAACTATGAACAGCAACTAGTAGTCAGAAAATACAATAAAACACCCCATAATCTTACAACATATGGACAGACTCAACCAAAGTTACAACTGGGAAATGAGCATCTAGAGCAAATAAAATCCAAGAACACTAGGGAAACCTATAAGCTTCGCACTCAGACAAATGAGCCAACAACAGGCACATAGAAATAAACTTCATTTATACACCATTCAAAAGAAACCTTAAAAAGTTTAAAAAGGAAACAAATGAACACCTCCTCACCAACAATCAACACCCAGATAAGCAGGGATGAATACCAGAATTCATACCAGAGAAAGGTGAAGTAAACAATAACCTAATCAAAGAACAACAAGAAGAAAAAACCCTCTTCAACACTGACAGGGCAAGCTAAGCTACTGTATATAAACAGAGCATACCCCACCTCTTCTAGCACTGAAGATGTTACTTATTCTGGTAACACAACATTCACAAGCAAACAGCCAAGTTCAGAGAACACCAAATACTCCATTATCTATGGAATTCTCACAGTTTTCTTAGCAGGTTGTTTGTCATTGCCTACTTCCTAGGGCTGAGAGACAAGGACTGTCACAAAGTCAACTAGCTAAGGTGGGACTGGAACTCACAGTCTCTTAGTTTCTGGCCTGATGCCTAACTGTTATATCAAACTGGCTGTCACACAGAACCATATTTAAAATATTCAAATTAAGAAATTAATTTGGATTACATGGACTCTTTTCAAGCAAAGTAGAAATAACATTCAACTGAACATGAACAGCATCTCAATCACCACATCTAAGATTACTTTATTATCATGAAAGGTGCATCTTTCATGTGCCCGTATTATCAGTATAACAATTTATCTCTCTCAAAAGATAAATATGCAGTATTGAAAACCACAGCTCTAAATAAGCCTTTCTCATTTCCTCTCAGTAGTGAAACCAAGATTAGACTTTTTTGCCTATCAGTTAAACCTCCTATGACTTTTTCCTCTTTCATATCTTCAATCAACAACTTCCCTTGCCAGCTATTTTATTCACAACATATTGGTTAAGACAGCATTCACAATTTCATCTTTTTATTTGGATTACATTAATCCCAAATAATTATATTCATAATTACTGCTACATATTTCTAAGATCTATATATCACTCATAGTATCTGATACATGAAGAATCAAACATCTCCCCATTCCAGCCACCCATATTATAATATATAATTAATGGGTGCTAAAATGTAGCAATTCACACTTCATAAAGCCACATGAATTTTCCAAAATGATGCACGGTTCTGAATTCCTGTATCTCTTCATTAAAAAATAGTTGAGGAAACAAAGAGAAGGAAAAGGGAGAAAAAATGATTTCATGGGACAATGTAAACTAGTATAGCTATGGTTCTTATACTGATTACATTTTTCCCTCTCCTGTCCCCCCCTTTTTTCCTATTTTGTACAATCTGGAAACTTGCAAAGTAGTAATGGTTTTGTAACATTTCATTTGGTCTAAAATAAATTGACCTCTATAGATTTAGTTTCACGTGGCCAACACAGCTAAAATTAATTTTTAACTCACACTGTGACTTTCAGCTGAAACTATGTAAAAACACCATTGTTTTTCAATCCATCAACATCAGGATTAAACTCCTGGGGTTTGTCTTTGGAAATAGATTATATTTCTGTTTAAGGAATTGATCCCTTAATTCTGTCTCAGAAATAAATCTATGCCCCATCTTTACAAATCCCTTATTCATATTCCCAATCCACATTGCACTGCAGTTCATCTCCAAATACTATGCAATTTATAAACATGGAGTTGCTTCAGATTATTAGAGCCACTGTATGCTACATGCACAAACAGAAAAGTAGAAAGGCACTTTCTCATTTTCTACAATTTAGATGCATCTGTTCTAGATTTGGAGAACCATACCTATTGCTGCCATCTTGGCCGAGAGTAGATTCTTTAATATCCCCAACTACTGGTGCTTTTTAATCTTGACAAAGGATAGACTGGTTCTGATTTAGTCCCTCTTCAAATTATTCGGACTATGTTAACTCCTATGTTGTGGATTTAATAAGACCAACACAACTTTAGAGTTAATCAGAGACAATTTGTATATTGCGCAATAGGTTCAAAGCTCTGTACATGAAGCGTTGAACAAAGACAGAAATTAGGTACAATGGTTTTTATACCCTTCTAGACAAAGGATTCTGTTAACTCAGCAATTCATATGGTCATATACATTTGTCATTTTTAATTGACATTTCCTAATTACTGAGTTTCTTTGCAAAACAGTTATAATTCTTTTTGTAGATTACTGAAGCATAGACTCAAATCATCTTCTGACGATAGACAACTTTTAACTCATGTGGATCCCCTTGACCTAACCAACCTTTAAGCTGTATGTCATTAGAATGTTCCTTTCTTCTGACAACTTAGAGGCCTCCAAGAGGTACCAAAAGGATTTTGGCTGAGTTTGTACTTTTTCCAACCGGATGCATTCCTTTTAAGAATAGAGTGAATAGAAAGTTATCCAGTGGTCATCTATCAGAGCCCGCTTCATTTACATTACCTACTTTTTCAAACAGTTCCAATGACAGTTTGCTCATTAAGTGGCATTTCTTTGAATATAGAAAGGATATGAAATTCCTTTTATGTGTTTATTGTAAGAAAAAGTATTTTTTAAAAATAATTAAAATAAAAGTAACATAAAACTCCTTTCTGAATGTTTATATAGTATTTTCTTCAACTCTTACCTTAATATGTATCTTTATTAATTGTATCTTATCCTGACTCTTGGCTGTGACCAAATTTTATATACATGTTATTACATTTGTTTACATTCCTTTACTAATTTCCATATTAATTAAATTTCCTATGTAATAATATGCCTATGTTCAGATAGCATAGTAAGCCATTGTTTGTTCAAGTATTATATCCAAAGTGCCTGAATATACTCACAACATAGCACACCACAAATATCTTTTGATATGTGTGTGAAAATTCAGATCCTAAGGGTACGTATAAGTGCTAGATATTAAGTTTTTCTTTAAAACAAGTAATTTAAATAAACAATGTATCACTTATAACTGAGACTAAACATTTTCTTAACTTTGTGTTCCATAAATCATTAAAAAATATATTTTAAAAAATAGCAAGTCAAAGAGAATAACAGGATCAAAGTTAAGACTTTCGTAAGTCTTAACTTTCTAATAATATACAGAAAACCATCCTGCAAAATAATAAATCATGCATGACAAATTAACTATGATAAATAATGTGCAGATAAATAGAAAAACTGAATCTAAATGTCAAATGATAAACAAAGGAGTGCATTCAGAGGAATGGGCTATTTCCAGCATGTTGGCTAATAAGTTATTTTCTGAATTAAAAGGAGTTGGCTTTTCAGTTAATTCAGAAGAATATTCCCAAATCCAGTTATACCACCATTTTATTTCACACCACATTCCACACTATTTTTTATTCCATTTTATTGCGAGGTTTATTTATTTCCACAATACATGTGTTTGGCAATTGCACAATATGGAGCCATGGTGGTGCAGTGCTTAGAATACAGTATTTCAGGCTAACTCTGCCCACTGCCAGGAGTTCAATCCTGACCGGCTCAAGGTTGACTTAGCCTTCCATCCTCCTGAGCTTGGTAAAATGAGGATCCAGATTGTTGGAGGTAATATGCTGACATTGTAAACCACTTAAGAGTGTTGTAAAGCATATGAAGCTGTATATAAGTGCTATTGCTATTGCTATGCTGATTCATATTAATGAAGTAAGCTCTGATTTATTGAACATGACACTCTGAATATAAACTAGCAACTTGAACACACTAGATTAAAATGTAGCTATCTAGTTTGCATTTCAGTGCATAGTGTTCTTGGAAGAAATGTCCATCTGGGTTCAGTTCGAAGTGGGAAGAAAGACACTGGAAACATGGAGCCTGCTTGGAAAGATGGTTTAATGGTGGACAGGACCACATAGTTTGAGCTCCTGGGCCAAAAAGAGCACATGGGTAAGAGAGAGAGGGGGGGGATTTATACCCTCTCTTAGGCCCTGCCTTGGAGCTTCCTGTTTCTGATTGGTTGTCAGACTACCATGGGGCCATGCAGGGGTAACTTTGTAGGTTGTCTTGAGTCCCAGGCCTGGTTGAATCTTGCTGGGTGATGATGTAATGAAGGGGCTTTGGGCAATTCCTATTATGGCTTAATGGCTTTGTCCTGGTTTGGATCTTGAGTGAGGGCTAATCTTATCATGTCCTGAGGGGCATGTCTTTTGTGTTGTAGATAAACTGGCCCAGCCTTTGTCTTGTAGATATGTTGGCATCAAAATATCTGCTGGGGGGGGGGGCAGGGAGCTGAGGCTCTGTCTTTAGAAACATGTTTCTCTTTTAGGGAAAATATAATATTCTACCTTTTTAATATTTCCTAGAATATTTCATTTTCCTAGGAGACGGGTGGGTGCTAACTTCCTACAGTGTAAACCAGCACTACAACCCATGAATAGACATGTTGGGCATAGACATGTACAGCTTTTATTCTATGTCTTTCATTTCTTTTACTTCACGAAAGGAAATAAACAATTTTATTTTTGGTGAGATAAAACCTATGTATTCAAAACTCATGTTTAAATGAATCAGATTTTACTGAATGAACCCAATTGCATGATCAGTTCATGCACCAGAAAGTTACTCCAGTTCTTGGACCTTGCACAGTGCACACGCTGCAAGATAACAAATCATATTCCTGCATAGCACAAATACAATGGAACTGGAAAGAGCCCAAAAGATCCAGAGATGAAAATATATTTAACCCAGATGTTTGAAGTATGCTAAGGGCATGCATGTAAGCAGTCTTTCTACACACCACCAATGCAGTTTTAATTATTAGTTTTAATCCTGGGAAATCGCAGCTCAGAATATTCTAAGCCACAAAGTTCGCTGAAGGATTTTGGATCAGTTGCTCTCCTTCTCCTTCCCAAATCTACCTTGACGACTGCTACCAATAAAAGGACGGAGGAAGGAGGCGTGCTATTTTAAGCGGCTTGGAAGTTTGACAGAAGGTAAATGCAATTTGTAAAAAGAAAAAAAAAAATCCTCTGCGTGCAGCATGTCGGCGTTGAGATAACCATGCGAGGGTTTTCCAGTCAAATGAAAAATAAATAAATAAATAAATAAAAATAACCGCGGCAGGACCTTTGCTCCTTTCTCTTTACCCCATTACCCGTTTCTAAAGCCTTCTCCATATTTTGAACCTGCAGTGCAATTACACCGCTCGTCCTCCTCGCTGTACCTCACCCCAACTGCCCTTCGCTTATTCACAAAAGCCAACCGATTCCCGCAGAAACCACCCTTGGCCGCCACTCTCGCTCGCAGGAAAGACACGGGAAGCAAAGGCTGGCGCCAAGTCTGAACCGGGTGGGCGGAATTGCACGAAGTCCACCCCAGTGATTGGGCTACACACGTCAGTTCTCTCTACCCCCCCCCCCCCACACACACACCTCCCCCAAAATCTCCGTGCGGGGCTATATTTAAGCGCAGGCTGCTCCGGGGTTTTTTGTACCTTGCTTGGGAGGGCGAACTTCAAGCTGCAGCCTTGCGGTTACAGCCACAAAAGCCAGACCGTCTCCGGGACCGGGAGGCGAAGGCGAGACGGCGCTTAGCTCCCGCCCCTTTCCACTCCCACCCGGGCGGTTCGTTAGCAGGCGGTACTCCGAGGGGGTGCTTATTATTATTATTATTATTATTACCTCCACGGAATCACGGGGTCCTGAGCCGCCTCCGACCCGCAGCGGAGACCCACGCAGTTCGTCTAACTCCGAGGAGTTTGTGGCTCTCTCGCTCGCTCGCTCTCTCGGCGACGGGAAGGCTGCTCCTGCCCGCTCAGTCGAGCCGGAGGATCCGATCCCTGTTTCGTCGCTCCGGCCTGAGCCGAATCATTTCGAATTTCCGGCAAACTTTGCTTTATTTTTTTTCCCCCCTCCCACCCACCGCCCGCTGCCCCTCTCGGCCCGGACCCTCCCGCTCAGCTCAGGCCGCCATTTTGCCGCGGGGCACGCCGGATAATCCGGCGGAATCCCCACGTAGCGGCGTGGTTGCATCATCACCCCATTAAAAAAAAAAGAACAGAAGAAGAGCCGGAGGAAAGCGAAGAGGGGAGACGGGAGGGGGGAGGCTGCTCTGGCGTCGGGAGGGTTGCCATGGCAATGAGGAAAATCGGGGGAGGCGGGGGAAGGTGTGAGGGGCGCGAGGTGGTCCTTGCGCTTCTCTGCGGCGTTTTTAGGCAGCGCTTCTGCCGCGTTCATCCCCGAAGGGAACCCTCGAGGAATGGAAAGGGGCTTCGTTTTGAACGCGAGTAAGCTTCTGGAGCCTTGTACTCCTGTTTGGAAGAAAACCTGGCCTATCTGGGTGAATGCTCGGATGCACTTATTCAACGTTTTAAAGTAGTGAATTTCTCAGACCCGCAGACACTCGCTGCCTTGGATGAATGAATGATGGAGTTTTCTGCAGAAGGTGACAAACTTAGCTCTGTGTGTGTGTGTGTGTGTGTGTGTTGCTATTAAAAAGAAAAGGACTGGTGACTTTAAAAGATAACTACTGCACTTTCAAATGAATAAAATATTGATTAGGATTGGGATCAGTTTATAGCAACTGCATAGATTATCCCCAGGATGACCTGTCCCAAAATGGCACTTCAAATCTATCACCCAGTGGCTTTGTTAACTGAATCTATCCACTTTCTGTTGCTTATCCTGTTTACTTCCACCTTTTCCAGCGACATAGATTTATCCAGAAAGCTGAGCCTTTGCATAATGTCCCCAAAATTTCAGCCTGCTCATTTGTGATTCAACTGAGAACTCTGGACTGATTTGTTAAATAATCTGTTTTCTTGATTATCTATAGTTTTCTCAAGGGATTTCTCCAATACCAACATTGAAAAGTGTGGATAAAATTTTACCAGTTGGCAAAATACACACCCAGACATTTATAAAGGTAAAATCGGGGGGAGGGGGGGAGGAAGTGATGAAATACACATTGTAACTTTATAGTCATAACTATACCACTTTTGGACTTGTGAACAAGGTGACACAAATGCAAAAGGATGGAATTTGTGGGGAGATAACATACTGTCATTTTGGCTTCATTCTGGTTAGGAACAAATGTCTCAGGACTAGATCCATAGGCCAGGGATTTCAAATTGAAATTGCCAAGAGTAATTCGCCAAAGGACAACACAGAAATCTTTCCATATAATGATACAAAATATCATAGCAAATCAAAAACTTTGACTACCCAAGTATGCTATTTATTTATTTATTTATTGGTTCGATTTATATGCCACCCTTCTCCGGAGACTCAGGGCGGCTTACAATGCTTTTAAGCAATAGCCTTCATACTTTTGTATATACCTGCTTAGTAGGGCTTTCGGCACCCCCTAAGCGGTGTTCTTTTTATACAAAGTCAGCTTATTGCCCCCAGAATCCGGGTTCTCATTTTACCTACCTCGGAAGGATGGAAGGCTGAGTCAACCTTGAGCCTGGTGAGATTTGAACTTGCAGTAATTGCAGGCAGCTGGCAACTAAGTGCTACTTAACAGCACTTTAGTCTGCTGCGCCACCAAGACTCTTTTAGCACCCACCCCTCTATAGAAGAATGAAATATTCTAGGAAATATTAAAAAGGCAGAATATTTCCCCTAAAAGATAAATAAAAATCTTAAAGGAAACAGAAACTCATCCTCAGATTCCTGCCCCTAGCAGATATTTTGGTGTCAGCCTATCTATAAGACAAAAGACCTTTACTCTCGGGACATAATAGGATTAGTCCTCTACCCATCTAACAGCAGAGCTCACCATATGGCACCTGGGGATATCAGCCTCAGCCCAAGGTTCAACCAAACTTGATTCAGACAAACATGACTCCACATGGGAGTCTGACAGCAACCAATAGAATACATTTCTTGCACAGGAACAGGAAGGGCAAGGCCCAAGAGGGTATAAATCAGGGGTGAAATTCAATGTGGGCATGGCTTAGTGGGCATGGCAGGGGAAGTATATTGCAAAATCTCCATTACCTCCCAGCCAGAGGTATTTACTGGTTCTCTGAACTACTCAAGATTTCCGCTACTGGTTCTCTAGAACCTGCTGGATTTCACCCAGGGTATAAATATCTCTCTCTCTCTCTCTCTCAAACCCGTGTGGTCCTGTCCACCAATAAGCAATCTCTCCAATCAACCTCCATGTTTCCAGTGTCTTTATCCCCACTTGGAACTGAACCCAGATGGATATTTCTCCCAACACTATTAAACATAGTGTATTATATTAAAATATTGTATTGTGAAAACAGAGTTCCAAAACAGGATTACAGAAAACCAATTTCCTTTGTTAATAACAAAAGCAACAATATTTGGCTTTATTACCGGGTTCATCATATTGTTTCTTCAATATACTGTATCTAGGTTGGTATGAGCTAGGAAGTCAATGTCATTAAGAACTAGCTGGCCAAATCTTGCGTTCTTCTCCTTACTGAGCAGAGATCTCCTTTGGGTTTTTTTCTGAGTCATTTCCCTTTACCTCTTTCCTGCAAAGTTTATCCCTTTTTCACCCAGCAAAGCAACATTCAGACACAATCTTCCTCTTTTACCATCTCTTTCCTTTCCTCAAGTAGGCCCAATCTGTTTCCTCTAGGCAAGCCTCACCTTTCCATTGCCTACAAAGCAGTGGTGAAATCCAATTTTTTTTACTACCGGTTCTGTGGGCGTGGCTTGGTGGGCATAGCAGGGGAAGGATACTGCAAAATCCCCATTGCCTCCCCACTCCTGGGGGAAGGATATTGCAAAATATCCATTCCCACCCCACTCTGGGGCCAGCCAGAGGTGGTATTTGCCGGTTCGCTGAACTACTCAAAATTTCCACTACCGGTTCACCGAACTACTCAACATTTCCAATACCGGTTCTCCAAACTGCTCAACATTTCCACTACCGGTTCTCCAAACTGCTCAACATTTCCACTACCGGTTCTCCAGAACCTGTCAGAACGTGCTGGATTTCACCCCAGCTGAGCCACCAGGAGCTCTGATGGTTCAGCAGACTAAAGCACTGTTATTAACATCCACTTACATCTGCTGCCTGCAATTACTGCAAGTTCAAATCTCACCAGGCTCAAGATTGACTCAGCCTTCCATCCTTTCTAAGGTAGGTAAAATGAGGACCCAGATTATGGGGGCAATAAGCTGACTTTGTATAAATATACAAAAGTATGAAGGCTATTGCTTAACACATTGTAAGCCGCCCTGAGTCTCCGGAAAAGGGCGGCATATAAATCAAATTTTTTTAAAAAAAGCCAGCACTGTCTCAGCAGCAACCCCCACCACTGTACAATGTTGGATAGGTATGCTGCTAAGTGCGAAAGGCATCGAGATATTAAGTGCATGATCCAACTAATGAGGCCCTGTATTTGTCAGGCAACCTGCCATGTCAGCTTATATTATATCACTACAGCCATACCATTCCTCTGGAATACCTCCGGAATACCTCCTGTGGCCCAACCTTTTCGTCAATATGGTGAACAGTGCTCTCGTTTTGCTAGGAAGCAACTTCAGCACTTACCAAGTATTGTTGTGAACCAAAGAGAATTCTTTGGAGGAGTTTGAACTCTGTTCAAAACTATAATGTTTTTTATTTGGCTTATGGTGTTGCACATACCAAATTCTGGGTACTTACAACCAAAGGTTAAACAATAAAAATATCAAAACCACAAATATTAACCTGGCACAATCATTAAATTTTCAAATGCAATTCACCACTAAGTTCTCTATCAATGGAACGGAATGGAAAAAGAACACTTCCTGGGTCCCATAAGATAGCAACATTTAAGGGGAGGGACAAGGAGTGTGCTCACCCTATCTGATCTGGTAGGACCAGTAAATGTGCTTAGGGAGAGTTGATTCCACAGATAGCCTGGTCCAGTGCCATATAGTGCTTTAAAAATAATAACCAGGACCTTGAATTTCACCTAGAAGGAAACTGGGAGCCACAAAGCTTGCACAACTGGGTGTAACATGGGTAAACCTAGGAGCACCCATCACTGCACATCATTGCATTCTGGACCAGTTATAACTTGGTGATCTTCAAGGCAGCCCCATGTAGAGGGTGTTTGAGTAGTCCAAACTGGAAGTGACCAAGCCATGAATCAACTCGAACATGGCCTCCCAATCCAGAAAGTTTATGCCTTTGCTTTACAAATAAGAAAAATAGCAAAAATGCATCTTCTAATATAACTATTTAAAATCAAAAAGTATATGTAAATTTAGTTTTAAAAGAATTGCCATATTTTTCACAGGAATGCAAAAGTCTATTATACCATTTTTATGATAAAAGGTAAAAAAACCAAAATTAAATCTAAAAGATTTAGCTTTCTAAAAGGATTATCCTATATAATAAGATGTATAATCACTGTAGTGTTGTGTGAGTTTATTCAATTGTGGCTTAGTTAACAAACCCTGGTTAAGCAAAGTGTATGGACCTGGTGATTTGTACAAAGATGATACAAGCTTTAAGAAAATGTTAACAAAAGGCAGGTTAATTTTTGATTAAAATTAAAGAAACTTATTCCCAGATATATATTTTTCTAAAAACCCAGGCTGTGGACATCATGAATTCCTATCTGGCCAATTAGGAATCACTAGCAGAATTATTGGAAAGAAGTTGCATCAGTTTGGGAGGATCTCTTAACTCAAACTCCAAGAAGCTCCATACTCCTTATAAAACCATAGTGCATCCAGTTTTGGTCACCACGTTATAAAAAAGATGTTGAAACGTTGGTAAAAGTGCAGAGAAAAGCAAGATGATTAAAGACCTGGAGACTAAACTATCTGAAGAATGGTTGCAGGAATTGGGTATGGCTCAGGGGTGAAATCTAGCAGGTTCTGACAGGTTCTGGAGAACCGGTAGCAGAAATTTTGAGTAGTTCAAACCAGCAAATGCCACCTCTGGCTGGCTCCAGAATGGGGTGGGAATGGAGATTTTGCAATATCCTT